TCCAGAGAATCAGAGAGATGGTTGTTGGTGTCGGAAAACACCCCTGAAAGGTAGCAGTAAAATTAGTTTTACGAGGTATACTGGAAGAACACAGGCATGCTTTGCTGTATTGTGCTTTGCGTACACTGCAATAGCAAGAGAAGTAGGATTAGAAGTGGAGCTGAAGATGTGACTGAATTGCTACAATCTCATATTCAGACTTGAGTGAATGAGGAGTTGTTTCTTATGGATGAGCAAAGCAAGTGATTTCTTGAGATGAAAACTACTTCTGGTGAAGATATTGTGAACATTGTTGAAATTACAACAGAGGATTTAGAACATTACATTAAAGAAGTAGCAGAATTTGAGAGAACTGACTCCATTTTTGAAAATTCTGTGGATAACATGGTGGATCGAGCAGCCATCACATGCTACAGAGAAATTTTTCATGAAAGGAAATCAATCGATGTGGTAGACTTTATTGTTAGCTTAAGAAATTACCATAGCTGAGCTCGGTGGCTCAGCCTGTAATCCTGCACCTTTGGGAGGCTGAGGTGAGTGGATTGCCTGAGCCCGCGGGTTCGAGACCCACCTGGGCAACTTGGCGAGACCTCATCTCTACAATAAATCAAAAATCAACCAGGCGTGGTAGCGCATGCCTGTAATTTCGGCTACTTGGAAGGCTGAGGTGGAAGGATCACCGGAGCCCAGCAGGTCGAGGCTGCGGTGGCCAGGAGTGGCCACTGCACTCCAGTCTGGGCACAGAGTGAGACTCCAACTCAAAAAAAAAAAAGAAAGAAATTACCACAGCCATCCCAACTTTTAGCACCCACTGAACAAGGACCCACCTCCAGCAAAAAGATTACAACTTGCTCAGATGATTGTTAGCACTTTTTAGCAATGAGGTGTCTTAAATTAAGGAATGTAATGTTGATTTTTTAAAAAGATCTAATGCTATTGCACTCTTTATAGTATAAACATAACTTTTATATACACTGGATATATACAATTTTGTATACCAAAATTTGACTCACTTTATTGCAATATTCACTTTATTGTGGTGGTCTGAAACTGAATCCTTAATGTCTCTGTGGTATGCCTGTATTTAATAGTGAGACTATCACATTGATTTGATGTTCTTTTAAAATATTTTAATTTTAAGTGGAAAGAAATTAAAATTTTTTCAGAAAGTAATTTGCTATAGGAAAATGGCAAAACTGTGCTGATGGGGTGTTTAACATTTCATATAATCATTTTGATTACTTTGTTCTCTGTAACTGCTTTGTTATCTAAGTAGACAGAAGCCTTGTGTGACTCTATAGATAAAGTAAAGTTTTGTTGTCAATATTCAACTTTATAATTGAAATATTGTAAGTAGGCCTCCGTAGTGATACAAGCGATCATAAACATGAAAACACCACCTTTGTAAGATGTTCATATGAATACATGGCTGTTTCTCCTGTCACCTTGTTGCTGCTAATGTGCAAGCTACTAGAATAGATTTATGAGAGAATTAAGCCCTAAAGTCCTAAGGAATCCATTAGATGTCATGGATCATCATCTCTGCAGTGTATCTGAAATGGTGTCAGCTCTGTGCCATCATTGGGAGAATTGAGAAAATAGTCACTCAGATAGTTGTTGTTATTGTTTTTTGTAGAGCTAAATTCTTTGTAGAACTAAATTTTTTATAGAGTAGAACCTCAGTTCATAAAGGGTGCTAGAGAAATGGTTAGTGAGAGACATAGCAGCAATAATTACCAGGAAAAGGAAGGAAAAGGAAGATGACAGCAGAAGCATCTTTTTTTCTAAAATTGTTTGGAATGGTCTGTTAGTCACTAGCCATTTGTGGCAATTTAAGTTAATTAAAATTAAATCAGAAAGTTCTAATGGATAGTGCTGCTCTAAAACTTCTTTGCCTAACTGCATTTAGGGTTGTTCTTGTATTTTGGATTTTTTTTTATTTAATGGACTTTTTTTTAAAGATTTTATATTTATTTTTATTTCAGCTTTAAAAAAATTTTTTTTATTGAGTTAAGTCTCACTCTATTGCCCAGGCTGGCTGGAGTACAGTGGTACACTCACCGCCACTGCAGCCTCAACCTACTGGGCTCAGGCGATCCTTCCACCTCAGCCTTCCAACTAGCTGAAACTACAGACGCATGCCACCACACCCAGCTAATTTTTTGGTTTATTGTAGAGACGAGGTCTCACCAGTTTGCCCAGATTGGTCTCCAACCTCTGGACTCAGGCTATCTTCTCACCTCAGCCTCCCAAAGTGCTGGGATTACAGGCTTGAACTACCGTCCGTGCCCAGCCCCCATGGACTATTTTCTTAACAAATTTCAATGATTAAAGAATTCCTGAGTCAAAGATATAGATACCTTTGTGTCTTTTTAATCACTGTTAATTTTTTCAAATGGTACTTATAATGCTCTTACTAGCAGTTTCCACTTTATTGGATCTTTTTCAAACGTTGACCAGTATCGCCACATCACAGTTCTCATACCCAGTCCAATTACAAATCAACTTTCAAAACAATTTAAACTGTGTTTAGTTTGACAGAAAATGGATGGTTTGGGTGGGTAGATAGTTCCCACTGAAATTGATTTGGATCATTTTTCTTTTCTTTTTTTTTTTTTTGAGTTGGAGCCTCACTCTGTCGCCCAGACTGGAGTGCAGTGGCCACTCCCGGCCACCGCAGCCTCGACCTGCTGGGCTCCGGCAATCCTTCCACCTCAGCCTTCCAAGTAGCCAGAATTACAGGCATGCGTTGCCACGCCCGGCTGATTTTTTGATTTATTGTAGAGATGAGGTCTCGCTGCCCAGGCGGGTCTCGAACCCACGGACTCAGGATCATTTTTCACTTGCATTTTTCCTCTTGAATACTTAGTATTTCAATTTTTTTGGTCAATTATTGGTTCGTTAGTAAGCATATTAAAAATTTGAAAAATAAAAACAATTTTTTTTTCGAGTTGGAGTCTCACTCTGTCACTCAGACTGGGGTGCAGTGGCACGCTCCCGGCAACCACAGCCTCGACCTGCTGCACTCTGGCGATCCTTCCTCCTCAGTCTTCCAAGTAGCTGAAACTACAGGCACACGCTACCACACCTCGCTAATTTTTTTTGATTTATTGTAGAGACGAGGTCTTGCCAAGTTGCCCGGGCGGGTCTCGAACCTGTGAGCTCAGGCAATCCACTCGCCTCGGCATCCCAAAGTACTGGGATTACAGACTGAGCCACCGAGCCCGGCCAATAAAAAACAATTTTAAGAGGGTCGTTAGTTGCATGTTTTATTATGTGTTGTGATGATTCATTTTTTTAATTTGATATAAACACCTAAAAACTATTGACAATGGGAAGAGGTAGCAAAAACACTTCTTTTCCCCTCTTAAATTCATTAGTTCTTCTAATCTTTATGATAGCCTCATACTCTTTATAACTTGTATTTGGCTAATATTTAAAATATCTGAGAACCACACTGACGTGTTAAATAAACTGTAAAACAGCTATCAAGAAAAATGCTGAAACTTCTAAGGAAAAAAAAAGTCTTTTTAATAGTGTCCTGCAACATAGAACTAAAGATCACTCAAAGTAACTGATCTCTATGGCTAACAGTGGTCCAGAAAAGCACTGATAATAGTAAATTGACTGCCTGGAATACTGTCAGATTATCACTGCTGGAATTATAGCTCTATATAGCTAGAACATGTACAGTCTGAATATTAGATATGGAAGTATTTCTACTGACTCAATAAACAGCTTCAAAAATTTTTGTTAGATTTTGTGGAGAATATATATCTTGACTCTTAAAGAGTTTATATACTTGTGAAATAAATAGAAAATTAAGACTAGTACTGTGAGTACAGGTCTTTGAATGCAGAGGGGGAGATTGGTTGCTGGGGAGAGGCTTCATATAGAAGCCTGGTCAGGTGGTCAGGCTGAACCTTCAAGCAAATGAGGTGGAAAGCCTACATTCTGGGTGAAGCTGTCAGCTGAGGAAAGGCATGAACAAAGGTTTAACTGTGAAAAGGATTCTGGAACAAAAAAAAAACAGAAAAGAAGAATATGCAAAATACATGGTCTTTGTAGTAGATGACCAAGTGTTATAGTTAACCTGAAGAATAATAAAAACACAAATGAACTGATGTAGACAGATGTTAATTTTCATTAAAGAATTTGGACTTGATCCCATTTCTAGGTGAGGTGAGGATTCTTTTTTTTTTTTTAACAGTTATTTGTACTTATTGGTTAATTCAACTAATAAGAATCATTAGATCTGTGCTGTCTAGTATAGTAACCACTCACTACATGTAACAGTTTAAAGTAATTGAAAGTCAGTAGGATTTATTTATTTAGTTGACCAGCTATATTTCAGTACTCAATAGCATGATCTAAGAGGAGAGTGTAGATATAGAACATTTCTACCATTGCAGAAAGATCAGACAGCACGGCACTCGGATGTTGATGTGAGGAGCTACAGTAGGATTTAAAAGTTTAAGAATGACAACTTTTGAGTTGTGGTTTTATTTGTGATATGTGAAAATTGTAAATTGAGAAACTATGTTTGAATGTACTAAGAAATCTTACTGACATTAGCTGATAATATGAATGATCCTATTCCAGCTTTTCTCCTTTTGGATTTTTATAGATTGTATTTTCTTGAAGCTCAAGGTATTTTCAAAGTGAGAGTTAAATGTTAGTGATAATCTAGGGACATGTTATAACCTGCTCTTGTTAACTGACTTCCTATTTAATTAATACTTTTGATTAAATGTTCTTTTATACCTCCATAGTGATGTGTTTTGAATCTCAATGAACCAAAGGTTTAAAGTGAAATTAGAGGACTGTTACAGACTAGATGCTTTTTCTACCTTATTGATTATCCTAGGATTCACTGGTATTGCTTTTAAATTGAACAAGGCATCAGAGTGAAAGAAACAAGGCTCCTTGTAGTGGAAAGTAAAATTACCAAATCAGTAGAAATGACAAGACTAATTTATTTATATGTGTTTCTTTTCAAGGACCACAACCCCAGGAGAAACAAAACTTCTGGCCTCCGAAATCTATGACATTCTTCAATCCTCCAATATGGCAGATGGTGATAGTTTCAATGAAATGAATTCACGTAGAAGGAAAGCTCAGTTTTTTCTGGGAGCTACTAACAAACGTGCCAAAACAGTGGTTTTGCATATAGATGGTCTTGATGATACGGTAAGAGTTTTATAAACGTGATTCATATGATGGGAAGGCAAAATCACATCAACTTAATAGTTTCTTCAGTGTTACCTGCTAGCAGTCTTTATATGAGGGAGGACCCCCCCCCCAAATGGAATTACCTTTTGGAGGATGGGCCGCTTATACAGGCTTTCCCCACTAGGTAAGTGTTCTAGGAACCCATTGGCATCGGTACATCAGCTAGCATTGTGAGAGGCTGCATTAGGCTTCAGTGAATATTCTTTCTTGGAGATTCTTTTGCCCGTTTCATTATGGGTGATTTATGAGCACACCTGCCCACACCACACTGAATGTTCAGCAATTTTTGACTAAAAACAGCGTAACTCCTGTGTTCCACCTTCCCTATTCACCTGATCTCACTCAAGTGACTTTTTTTTGTTTCCCTGGATGAAAAAAGTACTCAGAGAGAAACATTTTGCTGATATGAAAGAGCTGAAACAAAACCAGCACTAGAAGGCATCAAAATTGATAAGTTCAAAAACTGATTAAACAGTGGAAAAAGTGTCTTGATAGGTGTGGTGCATCAAATGGAGAGTACTTTGAAGGTGACTGACGTTTAAACACAAGAATAAATACACAATTTTTTATAAATAAATTCCATTCTCCCCCCCACTGTAGAAAGTCATTTTGTGCTAAAGAGGTCTATTAATTAGAGAATATGACGATTTAAAATATGTATGCCCCTAATGATAGTGTCAAACTATATGAACCAAGTTGGGCATGGTGGTTCATGCCTATAATCCCATCTCTTTGGGAGGCTGAGGAGGAGTGATTGCCTGAGTCCAGAAGTTTGAGATCAACCTGGGCAGCATAGCAAGACCCCATCTCTAAATAAATCAATAAGTAAGTAAAACAAAATATATGAAGCAAAACTGTCAGAAATGCAAGGAGAAATTAATGTACAGTAAGAGCTAGAGATTTAAATTCATAAGACAAGTATATTGAAAATCAGTAGGTATAAAGACTGATTTTCAGTAAAGACTTGAATAATATGGCCGGGAGCAGTGGCTCACACCTGTAATCCCAGCACTTAGGAACTCCAAGGCAAGGACATTGTTTGAGACCAGCCTGGGCCGCTTAGTGAGACCTTGTCTCATAAAAAATAAAAAAATTAGCCAGGCATTGTGGTGGGTGCCTATAGTTCTAGCTCCTCAAGATGCTAAGGTGGAAGGATCCCCTGAGCCCAGGAGGTCAAGGCTGTAGTAAGCTATTGTGCCACTGCACTCCAGCTTGGATAACTGTGACTCTGACTCAAAAAAAAACAAAAACAAAAACTCAAACACTATCAACCAACTTAATCTAATTGATGTTTATAAAACATCCTGCCCAACAACAGGATAATATTCATTCTTTTCATGTGCACACAGAATATTTACCAAGATGGACCATATTGTGGGCTGTAAAATCTTCAATTTAAAATTATTGAAACTATACAAAGTATGTTCTCTGAACACAACGAAAGCAAATTAGAAATCAACAATAGGAAGATATCTGAAAAATATCCCCCTCAACTTGGGAAACTAACACATTTCTAGAATAATCCATGAGTCAAATAAAAAGGGAAATTAGGAAGCATTTTGAATTGAATAAAAATAAAAGTATAACATTGAAATTTGTGTAAAGTAAGCAGTGTTTAAAGTGGAAATTTATTCATTGCGTTTGTTCATATACAAAAGAGAAAAGGTAAGAAATTAATGACTTAAGTTTCCACCTTAAGAAACCAAAAAAAGTGCAAATTAAAGCTAAAACAAGCAGAGGAGAAGAATCAAAAAAGATCAGTGAAATGAAAAACAATAGAGAAAAACCAATGAAATAAAAAGCTGCCTTTGACATGATCATTAAAAGCGACAAACCTCTAGCACACCGATCAAGAATAAAAGAGAGATGTCATAAATCATCAATATCAGAGATGAGAGAGTGGATACCAGTATAGATTCTATAGACATTGAAAGGATAGATAATTGAATATTTTAAATAACTTTTATATCAATAAATTTGATAATGTAGATAAAATAGGAAAATTTGTTTTGTTTTTGCGATGGCGTCTCTCAGTGTCCAGACTGGAGTGCAGTGGTGCAATCATAGCTCACTGCAGTCTCAAACTCCTGGGCTCAGATTATCCCGCTTCAGCTTCCCAAGTTGCTGGGATTATAGTTGCAAGCTACCATGTCCAGCTGGGAAAATATCTTGAAAGACGTAGATCACCAAAGCTCACTCAAGAAGAATAGATAACTTGATTAGTTCTGTATCTATTAAAGAAATTGAATTTTCAGTTAAAAACCTTCCCATAAAGAAAATTCAGGCTCAGATGGAAATATATTTCCCAATGTCTGGAAATCGTTTTAAAATTTTTATTTATTGTTATTATTATCTTTTTATATTTTAATTTTATTTTTTATAGAACTGAGGTTTCTTTATGTTGTTCAGGCTGGTCTTGAACTTCTGGACTCAAGCAATCATCCTGCCTTAGCCTCCCAAAATGCTAGGATTACAGGCATGAGCCACCACCTAAATTTTATTTTGTCTGTATTTTTAGTTGTTTAATCCAGGAGAGTAAATCTGGTCCCAGTGACTCCATCTTAACTGGAATTTTAAGTTCTCCTAAAGTTACCTTGAGCAGTGATAAGTTATACAAATTTACATATTTAGGAGTGGCAATCTTTGAATTACCACTTATCTCTTTAGCTATGCCCAGTAGTTTATATTAGATTATCCACAGCTTTTTCTAGTTGTGTTTAGACACTTAGGCCTTAGGATTTAGGGTTTAGTAAATAAGTGTGAAGGTGATGCTTCCATATGCATATTATTAGAGCCAAATAAGTTAACTACCTTTTTGAAACTGGGGCCAAAAGATCCTGAAAAGTTTCTAGAAAGCAAGTGTTGATAAATGTAAGTTGAATGGAAGATATTAAGATATATAAAATATCTCCAATACCACCTGTTTTATTTTAATGAATAACACAGTTCCTTTTTAAAGCTAACACAAGCCAAATAATAAAACCCAACAAAGCATGCACAGACGTACAGACCAATATCTAGTAAGAATGTGATTGCTAAAATTTCAAATGAAATATTAGCAAGTTAACTCGAGCACTATACTACCGTGTTAGTTAACATTTTTTGGTGATGTGGCCTGGCACTAGTGATAAGTTTATTCCATTGATTCTCTCATTTGATTCTGACACAACACAGAGAGAGGTACATCATTATCTTCTATTGATAAATGAGGAAATTTCATTTTAGAATGGTTGAATAATTTACATAAAGTCACATAGATTAAGGAAATTGTTTAATCAAGATTTGAATCTAGGTATTATGACTCCAGAATTGAATATTTAACTACAACTTTCTAGAAACATTCTAGTTTTGCCCGAGTATATAAATATGATTTAATATAATGGAATATTTTAGTATATAATATCAGTAAGTCAGTAATTTGATAATTTACTATTGATATGATTGTAAATATAGAAGACCCAGGAGAATGATCTGAGGATGATCTGAATTTTTTTTTTGACCTGGAGTCTTACTCCATCACCCAGGTTGGAGTGCAGTGGCACACTCACAGCCACTCCAGTGTCGACGTGCTGGGTGCCAGCGATCCTTCTGCCTCAGCCTTCCAAGTAGCTGGAACTACAGGCACATGCTACCATGCTTGGCTAATTTTTTGATTTATTGTAGAGACGAGGTCTTGCCAAGTTGCCCTGGCTGGTCTCGAACCCAAAGGCTCAGGCAATCCACTTGTTTTGGCCTTCCAAAGTACCAGGATTACAGGCTGAGCTACCAAGCCCGGCCCTGAAATTTTAAAAAACTAATGTGATTTTTAAAAATCCATGACTTTATTAAATATATGGAAATCAAATACTTTATGAAAATAGAAGAGTAAAATTACTTTACTATAATAAAAGAAAAAATGAAGAACACAAGGGTATTTTTAATTCTTAACAAGAAAATGTAGGACTTAAAAAAAAGTAAACAAAAGATCTTGAATTCTAGAAGACTTAGATAAATGGAATGGTATGCCTGTTTCTGAAGGAGATCTGAAAGCTTATAGAGAGGCTAGTTCTTCCTAAATTTGTAGTCTTAAAATAATATCAATCAATTCAGATTATTTTGGAGTTTTATTACCTCACCTAAAAGTTCACATGGTAGAGTGAACTAATTTTTACAATAAAAAGGAGTACCTGATGTGATGTACTTTTTAGGTACCAATGATACAGCAATGACCAAAATAAGCAAAAGTCTTTGTTCTTATAATGCTAGCATCATAGTTGGAGGAAATAGACAATAAGACTGATGAAACTGTGTTGAAATAAAGATGGATTGGCCTTAGGAATCTCATCTTATTGTCACTTCTGGTTGGAATTTAGTGCCAGACTCTACCTGTGACAAACGAGGCAAGTTTCTTTTCTATTTTTTGCCTTCCTCACATTTAAAATAAGGGATCAGGCCAGGCACAGTGGCTCACGCCTATAGTCCTAGCACTTTGGGAGGCCGAGGTGAGAGACCAGCCTGGGCATCTGGGTGAGACCTCGTCTCTACGATAAATCAAAAAATTAACTGGGCCTGGTGGCACATGCCTGTTGTTCCAGCTACTTGGAAGACTGAGGTGGAAGGATCACTTGATCCCAACAGGTCGAGGCAGTGGTGACCATAAGTGTACCACTGTACTCCAGCCTGGGCAACACAGTGAGACTCCTACTCAAAAATAAAATATAATAAAAAATAAAACAAATTAAAATAAAATAAGGGTCAGATAATAGTATCCTATCATGTTATATAGAGTATGCAAACTGCAGTTTTCAGTTAACCTAGTGTTGATTACGTGGAAGAGATTACGCAGAGATGTTCGGTACTAATCCCCTAAAGGGTCTTCACAGTACCCAGAATTCTTCAGAATAGAGTCCAGAGACCAGTGCACTAGATGAGCCCACTGTGGGTCTGTGCTCTGCCACAGACCAATGTATCCCAGATCTTTCCCTGAGTAGTGTTGAAAATGCAAAAGTGAGAATTGGCTTAAGCAGGGAGATGAGCAATGATGTGAGAATTGTTTTAAAGGATGTGAAAATAAGTTTGAAAACTGAATATAGTCTGGAGTCTTGTCACAGAGGTCTGTTGTAGATTCCTGTCCCTTCAGAAGTGTGAGTCAGGACCTGGTTTCACTACAAAAATGGGAAAATTTAGAGAGAGGAATTTGGTTTGTGGGCTGAAGGGGAAATGAGCTATGAGGAAGAAAAAAATGCTGTCACTTTTTTTTTTTTTTTTTTGAGTCGGAGTCTCACTCTGTCGCCCAGACTGGAGTGCAGTGGCCGCTC